TATATATATATATATATATAGACTAATATTTGTTAAAGAGCAAAAAGAAAATTAAATTCGTTATAATAAAACTTTATATTTTACAATTGCGTTATATCTTGCAATAGTAGCCATATGATATTTTTTATTTAAAATAACATTTCTAACAAATTATCGAAAATATATTTTTAAATATCTTTTTAATTTCTTATGAGGAAAACATTTGTTGAACTAATATATGTAAGTATTTATGTAAGTGTCTATAATACTGCATAAAGTATTATAAACATTTGTATTTATCTATAGAAATGCTAAAAGAAAATATAGACAAATAAAGCTGAAAGGAAATATTGAAAATGATTTAAATCATCTTTCATAATATTAATACGAGAAATTTGGCAAATAAATATTTTTTCAAATTATTCAGTTCTGTGAATACACTTTTTAGATTAATTATTTAACATTTTCTTGATAACACATTAATTAACATTTAGTTTTAATTTAGTAGATTATTGTCAGCATTAATAATCTGGTACTGATAACCAATAGTATCTGATAATCAATTTGAAAAAGTGTGGTAACGAGATTTGTAATTACGTGATCTCTTTTAAATTAATTTTTTTTTTAAATAACGCTGTTTTTTAAACAAAATTTAAGATATTCAGACAACACACAATATTTGTAAAATATTTACTTTATTTATTTAAGACTTATTTTAAATATTTTGTAAACATTTTTGTGGTCTTGTAGATCATAAATTACATTTATTACGAATATTACGAAATATTTATTGTAAATGTTGTAGTAAATGTTATAAAAATACTTAATAAGACACATTATAATTTAAGTAAAAAATACTTACTACAAATTTATATTTATCATAAATATCATATTAAATTTTATCTATATTTTAGTAAAATATTTCGAATAAAGCTTTACATAAAATATGTATATAACATTTATATAATATATGTAAGTATTTATGTAAGTTCAAAAAATAAATAGTAATATTTATCATAAATATTCTGTGCTGTCTAGAACATTAATCAGAGAAAAATTTCGACCGGAACGAAAAATTTCGATTCAGTCTGAGATTAATTGTCCAATCCAACTTTTGGTTTTAGTTCTTTTACCGTAACGATTACTGATTCCGATTTAGATTTTGGTTCTTTTCGATTTCAATTTTCAGTAATTAGCGATCACTATTATTAATAAAACTGGAATCGACACTGAAACCGAAAGTTGAATAATTTCGGACCATAAACAGGAAATTTTTATCCATAATATAATTTCGTTCTTAGTCTCTGATATTAATTAAAATATTTAATATTATTATTAATTAATTAATAAATAATAATATCTTTTAAAATGGCAAGTGTAACAATTTTTTTAATTTTCGTGATGTACATTACAAAGAAAATATTTTTATATTTCAAAATTTCAAATTTCGCTTTTTTTTCTTATTTATTCTAAATGAGATTTGAATCAGGAATCATACAAATTCGCTGAAATTGCATAACTTTAATTCTTGGTCTTAAGTCTGTGAACATTTTTCATACAGTGTTTTAGTATTCTGTATGACAGAATACTGAAACAATGACAGAAATATATTTAGTGAAATATATATTATGTTCAGAATATATTATTGTAGCAGAAGAAACCTCATTCTGAGCTTGAGTTTTTAATATCGTGAAATGTGACTAATTGGATAATAGGGGTGAGAAGGGAAAAAGAAAGAGAGAGAGAGAGGAAGAGAGAGAGAGAGAGAGAGAGAGAGAAAGAGAGAGAGAGAGAAATGTAAAAGTGTTTGTCCTAGCCGGCATGCCTAGAGCTCGACGAAGCTTTTTTAACTACGAGAATTGGTTACCTTCCAAGCAGCCAATTAATTCCGCGTTGCAGTATTGGCAGTACTACAACGAGCTCTGTGTAAAAGAAACGCTAAATTTATCTGTTGTAACGTAATACGCAGTAACGGTTTGAGCAGTCGCTTTCGTTGCGTACGCGATCGACACTGTATTCATTTGATGTTGCATACAAAGAATCGGCGATTAATGCACAATACAACATTATTTTTTATAAACAGCTAATCTTATTTTTTTAATCTGGGTGCAAATTATTAAAGTTTGTTAATAACTTATAATCAACTAAATTGTTTCATTCAGTAACAGTAAAATTTATTTTTACGATATGTACGTATATATGTATGTATATATATATATATATTTTAATATAATTTAGTAAAATTTATATTAATCTTATGTGCATTTTATTTTGTTAATTTGTGTTCGAGAAAGTAATATAGCGTGACAATTCTAGGTAACAACGCAATCGATACTTCGCTTTAAATAGATTGTTTGGTAGAACTTTGAGAGTTTCTTCGAAGTCGGTCAAGCTGTTCGCGGCATTTGGTAGAATAAAATTTCGAGAAAGTTTAAATCAATCAAACTTTGAACGTCAATCGAGAATATTTAATCGAAAGAGTGATTGGAAAAAAAGAAAGTTTAAAAAAAATATATTAAAATTGTTTTCTACGTACCAGAAGCAGATTATTTATATAAAATATTCAGAAATTCATGGAATATTTAATAATTAAAAAATTGTTAATTATTTCTTCAAAATAGCATTTTTTATTCTTATTTTTTGCAATTATCAAGTTGGTTCCCTCGTAAATCTCGTAATTTATAGCATTTTATTTATAGTATTGCAATTAACTTTGATCGAGTTCATAAACATAAATGAAATAACTCAATGAATGTGAAACTGTCAATTGTGATTATGAAGTAGTCCTTTTAGTGAAGTAGTATAATTTTAAATACACGCAAAATACACGTTTTCTATGTACCCATTTAAAAGTTACAATGACGCGTTATTCTCTTTCTATCTCCTTTCTTCTTCTTCCATTTCACAACAAAGTCTGTCACTAAAATCTCTCAGTATAATTACCGCGATTAGAAGACATGTCACGATTATCAATTTATCACGGAAAAATAGCCACGTTTTGATAAACATAACTGACATTTCTCATATCACGCACTCTCTCGGAAATATTCTCTTTCGCAAACGATAACGATAATAAATTAAAGTTAGAAAAAAAAGGGAAAGGGGAAAACCATGACTCGGGTAACTTGCACTTTCTCTCTCCCTCTTTCGTCTCCCAGGTGGACAGAAACATTACGAACAGAGATTTTACTTATCAAACGATGCTCTCCTCATCGCGACGTGCATGCACACAGAAAGTGGGTCGTCTCCCTTCTTCGCCTACACTTTATTTTCCTTCTTTACCCGCGATTTATTTTTCCCACGGCTTTACGTAATGCGCGACACCCCGGCCTACACACTTTGCCGGAGGTGGTCAGAGTCCGCCTAAACTCGCCGACGAAAGCTCCCTCGCCGTGGGAGATGAATCTCGCATCTTGCAAAACGTTCTCTGGCACGCACCATCCGTTCAAATATGAGAGGCAACGTACCAGAAGGAGTCACTGCCGCTGCTACCGCGCCACCGCCGCTGCTACAATGTTCAGCAACCAACAACTACGGCCGATTCATTGACAGAATAGAAATAAAAAAAGAGAGTAATGGAGAACGAGAGAAAGAAAGAGAGAGAGAGAGAGAAAGAGAGAGAGAAAGAGAGAGAGAAATAAAATTTATTTTTATATCGAACAAACTGCCGAGTGAATTTTTGTGGATCTTCAGCGAATCGCAGTAGCAAAAAGATTTTTCCCGAAAGAAAAGTCGTTATCCAAATGTGGATTATATCGGTATCGATCGCTTCTCCTACATACGTGAATGGGTCTCCGGAACGGATCAACCGTGTTGGTGAGAGAAGTGTCACTTCCGTGGCGGCGGAGGCCTCTCGATGGCTTCTCTACAGATCTACGACTGGTACTATCGAGAGAACCCACCTTGTACCCTTCTCTTCACCATCAAGATCCGTCCGAGATCGTCGAGCTTGATCAGCCGAATCCGCACTTATATGCGATGAATTACAAACACGGCCGGCACACACGGCTTTATAATAGTGCCCAAACCGTCGTCTATACAGCGCCTGCTTGCCGACTTGCTTGGGACGCCTTTCGTTAAAAATAGACCATCAGAAAGCGACACCTCAAGATTCGAACTGAGCCAACGACGGGTTGTCTGTATAGTACACCCATATGGTATGATATATTGCAAGTAGCAAATGGTAGCTATTGTGCTTATTATTATTATGCAAACACCTGTGGGCTACCAAACTGCTTTTAAAGTTAAGTCTCTATGGCTTATTTCATCTTCCCTGTGTTGGAAACAAATTATTTCACGTTATTCCATATTATTACAAAATATTATAAAAATAACGACGAAGATTTATTGCAATGCATTTCAGAATATAATCGAATTGTATAGATATTGTATTGTTCATATAATGTACATTAGTTTATAATTTATATACATACTATTAATCTTGGAATGATTTCTATTATCCCGAATCATCATTACTTATATGATATTTATATTTTCTCTCACAAACAAATCATTGGAGGTTGCTCAGAGTCATGATCTTGACAACATATATTAAGGTCAAGATTGTTGGCGATTGCTCCCCTTTTCTGCAATGTTATCAAAAGTTTTTAACCAATTGGATACTTAGATAGTTAATATCAGTGGTATTATAACTTTTAAGCCTTATAATTAAAAAAAGTACGTAATAAAAAAATATTTTGTTATAGTGTTTTGAAAAGCTCTCGAGATAAGCTACAAGAATATGTAATGAAAAATAGGTGTTTCATTTAAAGAAAATCTATATGATATTGCTTTCATCTTGGCAATATCACTCTGATATAAGTCAAACTAATATATAAAATTAGAAAATAGATGTTTTTAAAGTTGTATCGCATAATGACTTTTCTTAAGATTTGTTTTATTGTTTGAAGAGATAATGACATTCTCTATACATACGTATTATTTTGAGAGAGAGTAACTAGGTATGTTTATAGGATAATTGCATTTGAAGTTAGTACTTTTAATGCTAGACAAGGAGTGATAATACATTTTTTCCATTATAGCGCAAAAACGGTATTTAGAAATTCGCTCAAAAATCAAAAAACTATTGATAAATGTAATACAAATCTCCTAAATCGAAGAAAATGAGAGTAATTAGTCAAATATTATAAAACCTTAGAAAGATGTTTTACTACTTCATTAATATACACTGCGCTTATCAACTCATTCTCGAATACTGCCGTACAGTGAGGAAATAAAAATTACTGTAGGAAAATAAAAATTACTGTTAAAAAATTGCAGCAATTTTTGAACAGTAATTTGTTTTCCCATCACCGAACGACGCCCTCATGCGCTAGTGTTTTGGGCGATTGTCCCCCTCCCCCCCACATACACACAGACCGCTCTTTTGCGACACAACTCTTAAATTTTACAATTTTTTTCTGAAAAATTTTTCTAAAAAATGCATGCTTTTCGAGATATTCAACCATTCCGGAACTTATACTCCTCACTATATAATTTAGGGGCGTCTGACTTTCCACGCGAAGCAAAGACTGCCTCCATGCATACAACTTTCCACGCGAAAAAAGATTTCATTTGGGTTTGCAACTTTCCATGTAAAACGTGATAAAACGTGAGAATTAAATAAAATACGTGTATATTCAACTTTATTTGTTAATAACGTTTAATGAATAACAAGTGATGCAGCCTAAAACCTGTCACTCAGACAGGAAGATCACTCAGAATTACGATCTTGACAATATATATCAAGATCATCAGGGCTGGTTTCTCTATATAGTGCAGAATTTTTTTCAAAATTCAAATTCGCTATCTTATTCACTTTTCTTTATATTTTGTTATGATTTGTATTTCTTCAATTTCTTCATAAGTACATTCAGTATCTTTTTTTCATAAGAAATTGAAGCTTCTGAGACTCATAAACTCGTGGAATAGAATTTACAATAATTAATGCGGATCAAACATTAGTTCCGAATCACATAATTATTATATTTCAATAATTATAGTATTTTCTAATTATACTATTTTCTGAAATGCGTATATTACAAGATTCTTTAGCATTTGTTTTATCTTTTTCAAGTATCGATTGTTTATTATTTATTAGCAACGCAGCGCTGCACATTTTATTAATATCATTAATAAAACGTAACAGATAAACTAAAGTTATTAAGGTACGTATCTTTAATTCATTCAAAGTGTAACTATACCAGAATTGCTTTATGGCTTTTACAGGAGATAGTAAACAGCATAGATTTCATGAAAAAAATCAATATCATGCTTAGTTGAAATTAAATCCAAAAAAGATAAAGTAGTTTGGTGAACTTTGCAATTAATACATGGAGTCTAATTGTGGATAATTGTTATTACTTAATTCATTTAATTAAAATATATAAAATAATACCGAAATGAAATAAAATTATCCATAAGAATGTAATCTTTATGATTAATTATTGGATTGTTCGGAAAGTTCGTGCTGACTGAAATTTAAATTTTAGTATACATTTATTAAATTAAAATTTTCTGCGTTTCAATTTTCCTTCAACATCGGCACAAACTTTCCGGACAATCCAATATAACTATTAAATATTATATTTATTAGTTGTTTGACATCGTTGTGAATAAAAATATAATTTTTTTTAACCGTATAGTTGAATTATTCATTTTCGTTTTATTTTCTTATTTTATAGATCTATCATATTGTTTAAGTCCATTGTCACTTTACATACTTATTGTAATTTTAATATATTTTATACTTTTCTTAATTACTTACTCTTAAAAGTTGTTTAATTTGTTCTGTATTTAGCAAATACACATATAATTGCAAATACATATATAACAAATACGTAAATATCATTTATGTAAACTTCACTTACATTTATGTTATGTAACAATCACATTCATTGTTTGCTAGGTAGTTATTATATGACATTTTTTCAGAATTATTTTTAAATTATTATACATTTTTTGAAAGCTCTTTTTTTTAACTCTGTTTTTTTTTTAAGATATGTTGCATAACTATGTACGCATTTAGAAAATATATTTTATAATTTTCATTGTCTATGTATTTCAATATAAGTTGATAAAGAATGTCAATTATACTATACTTAAAATTATTTTCTACAGTAGTTATTATTTTACTTTAATGTTTTCAATATATGCAAATAAATAATATAACTTTTATTATCACTATTTTATATTTGAGATCAAACTCCAATATTTAAAAAATTATTATAATTTAATATAATAATTTGATATATATTTGCATATCCTAAAATTACAATCATTAGATTATGTTTTTTTTTAACTCTTCGTGGTCACTAGGGAAAGTCTCAAGAAACCTCAAAAAGGTGTGAAGCTTTATATTTCTAAAATCTTTTTTCAAAACGAGACTTAAACTTTATTTATTCGAAGTTCAAAATACTCTTTTGGCCGCATATTATTCCTTATATGTCAGTTTTTGCGATTTTTTTAAATATGTTAAAATTAAAAATTTTTAAAAGTCACTGTATTTTCCATATTCTAAAATGTTTAAAATATGTAATTTTTATGATTTTAAAAAATAAAAGTTGTAAATATGGCAACCAATTAAAATGTTGTTATTTTATCTCCTATATGACCGACATAAAATTCTCAGGAGATGTGACTACGAAGGGTTAAAAAAGAATGAAATTATAGATGTTAGTAATAAATTTTAAGTAAAGAATGTTTTTTTAAATTGATTCTACTTTTATAGCATATTAAATAAAACGAATTTATATGTCAAAAAAGAAAAACTTCATTCAAACAACAATTTATTTAAACTATCATACGAAACAAATAAAAAATATATAAATTTACTTTAATTAAATCTACATAAATATGATTTTTTAAACCTTTTTTTTTGCATTTTTCCAAATTTTTTAGATTTATTGTTATGATTTTTTTGCTTACTACAATTCTCGACTCAGTTTTCTAAAGTGTTTAAATGCACCAGACAAAAAATTCATAACTATACTAGCATTATTAAATATAATTTGATATAATTAAAATTATTTAATTATTTAAAATTAAAAAATGATTTTTCTTTAAATAGAAGTTAAAACTCACCTATAATTTCTTTTATTTCTTATTTATTTCGAGATTGTATACTGGATGATATTACTTTATCCAAAACCTCTTCATGATCTGTATAGCAGAAGCTTTCAAAAAACAACATTGCAACATTTTCAATGTCAATGCGACATTGCTGTTGCAACGTTACTATAACATTACTATAACATTACTGTAATAATATTCTATGCTATAAAACAGTTACAATTTTTTCACTAATTTAAAAAATAAATTATTAAAAATTTATCTATTCGTTTTTTTTTTCGTATTGAAAATTTATCTATTTGTATTTTGCATTTTTTTATACAATTGTTAACAATTATATATTCTAACCTTCTCTTTTTAGAATTGCCTTCTAATATCTTCTGCTGAAAA